ACTGCCGTTTGTGCAGGACAGGATTGGTAAGCATCAGAGATGTCAGTGGGGACGTAGCTCTGGCTTTGCTGGTCGTCCCACGGGGTGCTCGCTTCTCATTCGTGACAGTCTGCTTGACGGCAAACAAGTCCGACGAGTGTGGGAGCTTTCTGGCGTGATGCAGGGCAGGCTGGGGGCTGCACGCTTCAAATCCACAGTGAGTGGCATCACGTTTATTGTTGCCTACGCGCCCGTCGAACCCCCAAGTGGAGCTGGTCGTGCGGCTGCTCTACGCGTGCGCCAACAAGTCTGGAGTAGTCTGGATGCCCAGCCGTTGCTGCTGCTAGACGCAAACGGGAGAGTGGGGAGCACAACCTGCGAGAGTGATGGAGGATGCGAGCCTGATTGTGACGACACGAATGGGGGCTGTCCTAGATCTCTGTTCGATGTTCATCATCTTTGCGCAGTCAATACCTTCCTCTCTTGTGGCCCCACGTTCTATCATGGGAATGGAACTAGTTGTGCTCGTGTCGACTATATCTGCATACCGTCTAGCGTTCTTAATAATTTACAGAAGTGTGAAGTATGGGCGAAAGCTGAGGAAGCTCTACAGTTGATAAGCACACGTACACGGAGAGATCATTTCCCATTGGCGTCGTTCTTGGAGTTGGGCCCGTTCTCTCCTGATGTTCAAGAGTTTTTTCTGGGACCACAACAATGTGAGCCGTGCGGTTCTGCGCGGAGTACGACGTCGACAGTTTCTGGAAATTGCGCATCGTGGCCTGAGTCAGGTTGCCTTCGAGAGTGAGGACTCTGTCAGGCAGCGCCCCGGTCTGTTTTACTTGCGCGTGCACCACGTAATTAGCCCCATTGCTCGTGAGTTTTTTGAGCTAAAACCGAAGCGCGCTGAAAGACCCTCCGACACTGCGGAGGCCCTCGTACGCCGCATCTGCCTGGGGTCGGAGCTTAGGCCGTTGAAGCAGAGTGGCCCTCCTCCTCCCCATTCCCTCCCCTGGCATTGCGGTCCCCTCTGTCTCCTCTCGTTCCTCCCTCGTGCTGCGAGCGGCAGGCTGTCTTTCGCGAGTCGGGCTTTTTGGAATTCGTCTATCCCTCCGAGCGCGATCTCCAAGCATATCGCGCGGTGCCCGAGGGCTGATTGGGAGGTTCGACGCCTTGCGAGAAGGGATCGGAAGTGTTTGAGTGGGCTCAGAGTCTCCGAGCTGGGAGATGCATGGCAAGAGCGTTCGAGTGGCAAGAATGCAGGGCCCTAGCTCAGGCTACATGCTGCTCCGCGGGCTCATCTTGATTCGAGCACCCAGAAGGATTTCTGGAGCTGTCTGGCCCTGAAGGGGGGCGCTGCTGCAAAAGAGGCTCAGCACGACGAGTCTTTGGATGCTCGGCTCACTAGCGGACCCAATGAAGGGGGCATGGAGGAGGCAGCGAAAGGAGGCTAAGGAGGATCACGGGCCCATCTCGGGAGCTGTTAACAGAGCGAAGTTCTGGCGCACGCTGCTCTGGCCTCAGGACTTCAAGAAGCAGGAGCGCGCTGGGCTGGGAGGGGACGAATCAGAGTGGGATTTCGCTAACATCAAGTATTGTCTATTCTACATCGTAGCCAGTATTAGACTTCACGTGGAAGCTCCTTTGACCTGGCACTGCAGCCAGGCGCACACATCAAGCAAAAGCAACGGCATGGTTGACTGCAAGGGATTGGGACTGGCTCACAGTTCGGATGGGTTCGGCAAGGTGCATTACAAGAACTTGAGGCGTGAGAATCTTGGTTCTGGCGCCACTGCTAATCGAGCCCTTGCCCACGGTTATCTCTTCGTCGCTGTCGTCGGGAGGGGGCCGTTCTAGCGCAGGGCCTGCGCGGAGAGAGGCGTCGGGATTCTCGCCCCAGCTTTTCTTCGACTTTCTACGACGCCACCAACGCCGCCCACAGTGTGGAGCACTGGTTGCTAAAGAACTTTGCGGAACTGAATGCTTCGACTTTCGCGCCCAAGCTCTTCTCGGAGCGCCTCGTTCACGGTCTGTCTCTTGAATGGTGGGTGGCATCCTGGAGCTGGAGATTGGGCCCGGTACTCTTCCCGGGGATACTGCAGCACCTGCTTGGCTTTTGGGAGCTTATCACTGGTGTCTTGATGGGTATCCGGGGGGGGAAGTCCTGGGCTTAGCGCCACGGTTCCCTAGTTCAAGCACTGCTTGGGTGCGATGATGGGACTCGTCTCGCTCTGCGCTCGCGGGCCGATCGCGCGATCGACATTTCCTTCACTGGCTTTGCTGATGATTTGCGCCGCACTCAATTGCTGCGATCGCGCGACGGGTTCTTCAGACTCAGCGCTGCCAACCTCGAGCGCCTTCAAGACAGAGTTGGCAACTGCGGTGCCAGACTGACTGGCCGCAAGCAAGAGAGCTTGGTACACTTTGTCGGTAAGGAGGCTCAGGTGTCCAACGCGGGGTTTTCTCTGGTCATTTCGATTCCTCTAGAGGTGCTTGGAGGCTCAGTTGGGTGAAACTGCCCCTGGGCGCGTGAACCGCTGCTGTAGGTACCCGGGGCCGTTCATTCGTTCTGATGGGGGGGCGCGGGGGCGAGTTCCTTCGCAGACTTCAGAAGGCGAAGTCTAGCTTTGGTCTTCAGGGGAGGCTCTGGCACACCTGCTCGAACTTGCGCTGGAAAAGCACCGTGCACCGAGCTGTCATAGAGGGGGCTCTGACGTCGGACCCACGTCGTTCTGTATCTCTGCCGAATGCAGTTCACGCCTGGATGGATTCCAGGCCATCCATGCGAGGCGCGCGACGAAGGGGGGCGGGTGCTTGAAGGAGGAGGTGGATGGAGTCACGCAATACAAGGCCCGTCCCACTAAGGAAATGTACTGTCAGCTTCGCATCTGCCCTGCGTCGCTTAGGCTGCGGATTCAGCGATTTAGCTGGTTTCAGAATCTGGTCAGGCGCCCCCTCAGCAACATTCAGCTGATGGGCGCTCTGTCTGGGATTGCGGAGTGGGAGGAGGAGGGCATCGTGGACAGGGAAGGGTATGTGGTCGGCAAACGTCGAGAATGGCGGGTGCAATTTGCGTCCGATTTCACGGAGTTCGCGCGCGTGGCAGAGTTTTCGGACGTGGCTTCTATTGTGCAGAGCTACCCGGCTGCGCTTGTTAGCGATCCAGATGTGCGGTCGACGTTTCTTGCTGCTGATCCGAGCGTGTTGTATAGCGAGTACACAGGTAAACAGATACCCCCTCCTGACGAAGGTGGGATCCCCTGTCCTGTCTCGCCCTCTCCTGCTCCTCCTCCCCCCTCGTCCCCCCCTCGTCCTCCCCCTGCTTCCCGGGAGTTCAAGTGTGATCTCTGCCTCGGGGAGCCCGGGGGCGCCCGTGGGGCCTCGTCCCCGACGAGGCGGAGACTCCTGCTTCATCCAACTAGCTCTCGCCTTCCTATCATGGTCACCTTGTCTTAGCTCGCATGGTTACGATATCTATGTTTGGCATCCTCTGCGGTAGCTCAATACAAGATTCAAAGATATGCCACCAAACATCGTGCCAAAATCTTGGAGCGAGGCCAGTGCCCTAGATCCCGTGGGTCTGCTGTTCAACCTGTTCATAAAACAGCTTCCCCTTATGAGTGTGTGATATGTGAGATCAGTTTTAGTAGCTGCCCATCGGCCCAGTGGCATCTTCGCACTCAGATTCCCCTTGGTTCACATGAGTTTCTATTGTGGACGACGCAGCAGCAGCGGCAGGCCATGTTGGGCGCCGCGGGCGCGAAGCCTGCTGGCGAGCCTGCCGAGGGCGACAACCAGCGGGCAAAGCGCGTGGCCTCGGCGTCTACCACAGAGTCGAAGGCGGACTTGGCCTTGAAGATCAGCGTGATTAACTCTCAGCGCAACAGGCTGCTGGACGCCGCAGCGACCAATCAATTCGTGCGGAAAACGGGCGGCGGTCTCTTCACTGCCATGGAAAAGGCGCACGACGAGGAGCACCTGCCGAGAGTGAAGGGACACAGGGGCCATAATATCGGAGCCCCCGATTATTTTCAATCCTCGCCGGCCTTGATGATCATAGCGGGCGAGGGGTCCGCGGGGGATCAGGCTGCCGTTCGCAAGTACATGAGCAACCACGTCCTTGGTTCTCTTCCTGCGCAGCTGTGCGTGAAACTGTTCAGGATTGAGGAGATGTTTGACGCTAAATGCAAGAGGCTGATCATGGCCCTCGCTGACAAGGAGCTGGAGAAGACGGTGACGACGCTCATCCACCAGCACATGGGAGAGAGTATCTTTATTGGGCCCAGGCCTCTGGCTACTTGGAGGTGGAGGGGCAGAAGATGCTGAACCCCCAGTGACATGCGCTGTGCTCTGAAGTCGTCTGCTCTGCTACTCATGCACGCCTACGCGACGTTTGGGACTTTCATTGAGAATACCACGCCTGGTGCGATGCTCTGTCTTTGTCTTCTCTGTCTCAGGGTCTCCGTGTCTCGGGTGGTCGGCGATGGTGTTCTGCATGGTTGCAAGCTGCGTGGAGGTGGAGGGCCACAAGATGTGGGTCCGCAGTGCCTGGTACTGCTGCTCTGACGTCTTGCCGTCCAGTCGCAAATTTAGTATCCCGAGGGCCGCCGCCAACACTTAATTTTTTAGGCGTTTGCCATTTCAGGAAGTAGGCCGTGCGCCGTCAGCTGCCGAGAGGCATTGACGCTGGCGCCCCCCAGTTCGTGGGGTGCCGAGGCTTGCGAGTGACGGGGTTACCCCAATTGTCTCCTCAGACAAGTCGACCTTGGTCTCATCGGGGCGCTACCTACCTACGTCCTCCTCGTCCTCGTCCTCCTCCGCCTCCCCCTCCTCATCCTCCTCCGCTTCTTCCTCGTGTTCCTCCTCGTGATCCTGATCCTCGTATTCCTCGTCCTCCTCCTTTTGCTCCTCCTCGTCATTTTCCTCCTCTTCCTCGTCCTCCCTCCTCCCTCAGCCTCCCCCTCCTCCTCATGATCTTCCTCCTCCTCCTCCTCCTCCTCCTCCTCCTCCTCCTCTTCCTCCTCCTCCTCCTCTTCCTCCTCCTCATCATCTTAATCATCCGCATCAGCATCATCATCCTGGTCCTGATCCTGATCCTCCTCCTCCTCCGCTTGTTCCTCTTCGTATTCCTTCCCCTCGTATTCCTCCACCTCCTCCTCCTCCTCCTCCTCCTCCTCCTCCTCCTCCTCCTCCTCCTATTCCTCCTATTCCTCCTCCTCCGTCTTCTCCACTTCCTCCTCCTCCTCGTCCTCCTCCTCATCATTATCCTCCTTCTCCGCTTCCTCATGTTCATTGTTCGTCGTTTACCTATATTGCGCGGCAAGGTTTCCAGTGACCGAATTGCGCGTTCTGAACAGAACAGACGCGAATGCGCGCGTGTGTGACTTGTGGAAATCCGTGGGAAAAGACAGCCGCATCCTTCTGGTGTTATTCTTTGTGTCGTGTGCCCGACGTTGCGCTGAAAGGTGCCTAGCGTCTGAAGTGCGCGTGTTGCGTAAAAAGACGCGAGTGCGCGCGCCGTTGGCTCGTGAAAATCAGTGCGAAAGGACGGGCAGCGACGATGCAGGAGACTCATTGGCAGACAAATTTCAGGATGCCCGTGCCTGGCGAGCCGCGCGCAGCAGAGAGCCCACCTCTTCTTGATCATCCTCATCGTCGTCGTCATCATGAATCGTGTCCTCCCTGCTCCTCTATATCATCCCTAGCTCCATTTCCTCAATAGCGGAAAAAGCAAGCGCTGCATTGATCAGCCCAGCATTAAATTCGAAGCATCGGCGCCACCAGGGGCAAGATAATCCCATTGACGTTGACAGATGAAAGTTATTGACGTTTCGCATATCCGCGCCAGCCCTTCCAGAAACGATCGCCAGGCGATGTGCTTTGACCCGGAAAGTGGAACGGACAAGTGAGCCAGTGGTCAAGCCCAATGTCGAAGTCAGTTTGAGTATGACCAGGAGTCGGATGTTCGAGACAGTTGTCAAAGAATGAGGGGAAGGAGGATGTAAAGGAGACAGCGGAGAAGGAGGGAGGGGAGGAGGGAGAAGGATGAAGAGGGAGGATGCGGAGCAGGAGAAGGAGGAGGGGGATGCGGAGCAGGAGGAGGAGGAGGAGGAGGAGGACGAAGGAGGTGGAAGGGAGCGTCGACGGCAGGGTTGTCGCCAAGCTCGCAGGCTCAGGCCGCCTGCCTGTGAGCGCGCAGGTTTGCGCGCGCACCTCCCAAGCTCAGGCCTGAGAGCCTCCTCATGGCTGCTCCCGAGCTGCCATGACAGTTCAATTACGTTGGATGCTGTCATTGATGCCGGCTTCGAGCGAAGGGGGTGGCGCCGATCGGCTTCGGCACCTCCCGGTACCGAATAATCGCATCTTGGGGCCCTCTTAGGGCGCCCTTAGAGCGCCGTGAGGACCGTCTTGGGGCCCTGGTGGGCCTCACTTGAGGCTCTCCTGGGCCACCCGCGGCCCATCGGAAGCGGCAAGGCGAGAAGGCAAATTTGTGTCATGAGTTGCTTTCAGGATTGGGGAAGGTGTTGGCTTCCTCGGGGGCGTGCTTGGGAGGCTCCGTGACTCCTTGGGGCGACGACGGCGGCGGCGGCAATGACGACGACGACGACGACGACGACGACGACGACGACGACGACGACGATAACGGTGACGGCGACGGCAACTGCGACGGCGACGGCGACGGCGACGGCGACGGCGACGGCGGCGGCGGCGGCGACGACGGCGGCGGCGGTGGCGACGACGACAGCGGCTAGGGCGGCGACGACGGCGACGGCGACGGCGGCGACGGCGACGACGGCGACAACGGCGACGGCGGCGATGACGGCGACGTCGATGGCGGCGATGCCGACGGGCGGGGCGCCGCCGCAGGAGTGCTTGAGGCTCACCCTCCGCCTGGGGGCGGCCGTCTGAGGAGCCCCAGCCCGGCGCGCCCATTCGGCGCGGCGGTCGAGCTGTAAGATCGGTTGTACGTAAGAGTGACCTTCTTGTCGGAGTGACCTTTGGCGTGGGCCCGAGGGGGGCCCCCCGATCGCTGAGTGCGATGTGACAGTAGCGGCTTGTGCGCCCGGTGGTGTGGCGTCCCACAGGGCCGCCGCCTGGGCCGCGCGCCACAGGTCACTCTGGCCTAGGGTTAAGCCGGGCCTGTCCCTCTACAGGGGGAATATGCAAAAATAGTCCAGAAATAGTGTGGGGACGATTTTTGAGTATGTTTGATTATTTAAGGGGCATTGCTGGGGAATTTGTTATTCGTCCAATATCCGCCCGTAGGAGAACATGCCCGACCTAAGCGTAGGGTCACTCTTGCATATAGCCGATTAGAGACGGGGGTCATTGCAAACAGGGCTCAGCCAGGGCGCCAGATCTTTTGCAGAGCCGGAGTGCACTGACCTGGGCTAGCGCGCAGGATCTTGCAGGGTCTTGCAGGATCCTGCAGAGCCTGACTGACCCAACTTTGCATCGACCCGGGTCAGTGCGTCCCCGAGGCGGGCTTTCTCGCTCCCGCGCGCCCGCGCGGGAAAAGCGAAGACGGAGCGCGGCGTCGCCGTCCTCGTCCTCGTCCTCGTCGTCCTCCCCGTCCGTGTCGTCGTCGTCGGCGTCGTCATCCTCCTCGTCCCCGTCGTCTTGGTCGTCGTCTTCGTCGTTGTCGCCGTCGCCCTCGCCGTCGTCCTCGTCGTCCTCGCCTTCGGTGGTCGGTGTTGCAGAGGCCCTGCACCGCGCCCCCGCCGACCCATCGTGCGGGAGGCGTTTGCCCTCGCTCGCGAGAGCGGGAGGGGCGCAGCCGTGCTGAGCGGACTTCGTTCCTCCGAGAATGGACCCAAAAAACCATGGACTTAGGTCGGGAATGTCCCCTACAGGGGCATTTTGGACGAAACTTAAACATACCCCAAAAAATATTCCAACATGGTCAAAGAATACTCAAAGAATCGTCCCCCGATTATTGTTAAACTATTTTTGAACATTCCTCCTGTAGAGGGACGTGCCCGACTTGACCATGGATATCAAAGTGCAGAAAGAAGTCCACGCGGAGTTCTTGGCTCGGCGCTGGAGCCCCTTGGCGGCACCTCTGGCGCCGCCTCCGGCGCGCTCCGCGCGCGAAGGAGGGGTGCCCGGCGCCGATCCAAGAAGTCTGCGTTGACCCCCGAAAGTGTGTGTTTATGCCGTTATGTGTTCCTCGAGGGAAGGCGCGCCTGGTCTCGTCTGAATGCGTTGTTGTAGACGGCCCTCTGCCGCAAGAAACCCAGCCCCCCCTGCAGTGAACACGCGCATCAAGAAGCCGCTTGCACTAGGATCGAAAGAGAGTGAGAGAGAGAGAGGGAGAGAGCAAGAGAGAGAGAGAGAGAGAGCGAGAGGGGGAGAAAAAATCAGAAGGCGAGAAATACCTAAAGATTTTGACATACTAGATCATGTGCATATTTGATATGTATAACGCGGCCGACACGAACCCCCGCATTCCCAGATGGTGGCTATGTCGGGATCACTGGACTTCGCGGCACGGGCCTCTCGTGGAAGGGCCTCGTTGTTGGTGCCCTGTTGCATCACACACACACACACACACACCTCCTCGGGAGTGGCGAAAGAGTATTCATGACATCTGCGTCATCTTTCGAGCCGCGCGTGTTGTTCATCAGTTTGTTCGGGCAAAACTATGGTACTTCGTCCAGCAAGTTACGTAAAGTGCTCATGGGGTCGCCCGACCGTTGTGACATTGATACTGCCGCCCTCCGACATCAGGGGCAACAGGTGGGCCACCCAGCCCACTGGGGCAACATCAGGAGGGATAACTTCAGGGGGGGATGCATCGATTCCAAATCGCCGACTGATCGCCGATACGGGCCCGATAGCTCCGCCCCCTCCCAGGACCGTGCGGCTTCGCTGCAGAAGGCCTACCGTCGATGTGTTTGCTCTCCCCTGATCCTAGTATCGCTCGGACGTGTGCATTTTCTTCTCGGCGAGGACCCTGGAGGAGCATCCTGGATCATCGAGCAAACAAAAACACGCACGAAACCGAAACATGCACAGGGAATGGGCGTCTGAGCGATGGCCAGTGATTCGACCCCCTGTTCACAGGTCCTGCCTCGAGCCTCTGGCGGCAGCTCGGGACGCTCCGAGAACCCCCAGAGAACGTTCTCGGCGAGGCGCAGCCGCCGGAGAGCACCCCGAGGCCGGAAAGCCGTCGAGAACCAGCAGAAGCGTTCGAAAACCTCGAGCCTCGAAGTTTCGACCCACGCTCTCTCGAGCTTCGAAACTTCAAAACGAACGTTCGAAAACCTCGAGCGTTCGAAAACCTCGAGCTTCGAAACTTCGAAAATCTCCGACGCTCCCCCCGAGCGCCCACGGTCTACGACACTCATGACACTCCACCTCCTCCTCCTCCTCCTCCTCCTCCTCCTCCTCCTCCTCCTCCTCCTCTTCCTCCTCCTCCTCCTCCTCCTCCTCCTCCTCCTCCCTCCTCCTCCTCCTCCCTCCTCCTCCTCCTCCTCCTCCTCCTCCTCCTCCTCCTCCTCCTCCCCCTCCCCCTCCCCCTCCTCATCCTCGTTCTCCTCCTCCTCCTCCTCTCCTCCTCCTCCTCCTCCTCCTCTCCGTTGCGTCTTCCCCTGCCTCCGCCGCTGCGCTTCCCCGCCTCGGTCGGGGCTGCTGCGTGGGCCGACGCCGCAGTGAGGAGGAGGAAAAGACGTCGACGCCGCTTCCCCTTGTCGGGTCTCTTGGGAGGCCCTCGCCGCCACGGCTGGATTTGCCTCGAAGTACTGGTCAGCACGCACCACGGGAGACGTCTGGGGAGTAGCGGCTTCGGTACCTTCTGGTGTCCCCAGTGAGGCCAGACTCCCCAGGCATCCTAGATGGGGTCCGAGCAGATGGGGTCGGAGGATCGCGCCGAACCGCCGATGCATCGCCGATGCGGCTCGATGTGGAGCCCGATTTTCTCCACGCCGGCGTCGCCGATGCACTGCCGACGTCGCCGATGCGTCAACGATGCGGCGCGATCCTTCGACACCATCTACTCGGACCCCATCTAGAAGGCCTCTAAACTGTGGAGCAGGAGAAGAAGCCGCCGCCGTGCTGAGCGCTGAACCTCGCACGGGGCGCACAGCCGACCACGGAAGCTTCCGTCTACCATTCCGCTGGGGTGTGAGAACCTTTTCGCGGCCCATGCTCCAACGAGAAGTGGCAACGTGTCTGGCGGAGCGGCATGACGCATCTCCCTGCCTCCGACAACAGGCACGAGGACGCACGCCCCAGCTCGGTAGGCAGAGCGGCCCCGACACGTTGCTGCTGCGTTGGTCACAGCAACCGTTGCGACGGCTGGATTCGCCTGGGAGTCCTGGTCAGAACGCTGCCCCGAAGAGGTCTGGGGAGTGGTGGTATCGGTATCACCCATGTGGGTCCCCCACAGACGGGGTCGTCTGCGCCGACTGGCACGTAAGCTGCCCGCGTAAGGTCGCGCGTAAGCACCCGCGCTTCCAATGTAGCGTGCCGCGCTGGCGGCCCGCATAAGCCGCGGCGTAAGGTCACCATGTCATCTCGTGTGAGACCCGCTTCTTTTCGTCGCTCAGTTGTCGTCGCCAGTCTGCCGTCGCCATCTCGAGGCCCTTGCGCGCAAGTCCGAGTTGTCGTCGCCAGTCCGCCGTCGCCACTTCGAGGCCCCTGCGCCTTTGCTCGCGCGCCCCGCCGCGTGAGAGAGCTCCGCCCCCCGCGCGCGGAGGTCCTGGGCTGCGCAGGCCTTACCCGCAGAGGTGCCTTCCCTCTCCTCCTCATCCTCATCCTTCTCCTCCTCCTCCTCTTAATTGCTCCTCCTCCTCATCCTTCTCCTCCTCCTCGCGCCTTGAAAATTGCATTCGTGGTGCGAACAAGTCCGATGTCTCCCTGTTTGATCTGATGAAGCAGTCAGCGCTCTCGTCGCCCAGCTGGACGAGATGGCCGTGAACGCCGAAACGTCATCGCCCAAAGCTCAACATCAGCAGTGGTGTGACTGGGTCCTCGCTGAAACGTCAAAGGGCTCGGCTGCTGCTTACAACTTTGTCCGAGGGAAGCCGTCCGGGCAACTCTTCGAGATGGACCCCGACTTGGATTCAGAAGCCCGCATTGAGTCTCCGCAGCACCATCTTCATTGTCGTGAGGGGTTTGGGCATGGTGTCTGCTGCGTCGACAGGGCAGGTGACCTTCAGATTTCCCACGTTTGCCATCCGAGCAGCTGGAACAGTTCACCCTCCCAATCCCGTCGAGCTTACGACAGTTGTCAAAGAAGTACAAGGAACGCACCGCAGTTGGACGTGACCACATTCATCACCGGCACCGTGCCACCAGTATTTGCTCATTATATAGTCTCTGATCCTTAAACTTGCTTCTGGTGATCGACCTGTTGCCGTGTTCTCGACATCGATTCGCTCTTGCACCAGGTGGCCCCGGCGGTCTTGGGATTCGCAGTGGGCTCGAGAGCACGATCGTCCGTATTTGGTCGGAGTAGTTGGGAAGTCTTCGCTTCAGTGTATCCAACGACAGGCTGTTCTTACTAAGTTCGTTCATGCACGGGGGCGGGTAGATTGCAGTCGCCTCTTCTATATGATTAAGGCATTTGGGACTGTCTAGCATCACATTCGAGTCGAAAGGGCTATCAAGCTAGACTTGAATCAGACTTTGTTACGATTCTTCTTATATCGTGGTCGTCGGCTTGTGTCTGTATATGGTACGCAAGGTCGCACAGTACACGCCACACACGCGATTGTTTCTGGATGCGTCCATGCCAACTTGCTGATGAGAGAGTTATGCTGGATATTGACCTGGGTCACTTGGTGCAACGCCATGAGTACGCTTTCTTCGGAGTCGTTGCTGACGACGTTCTGTTTAATGTTTTTGGGATCTTGCCTTTTGTGATGGATCGTGCCCCGAAGGTTGGTTGCTACTGACCCAATCCGCACGCTTCAGGCTGCTGGTTCGCCTGTATCGTTCGATCCCAAGAAGCTGTTCCTTCTCACCACGGACCCTGAAATGGCGAAGGAGGTTGTGTCCCGTACGCTAGAATGTTCCCAGGCCTCGTTGCCACATGTGGCTCGGAATCTTGGTATCGACTTCACTGTGCGGCCATCCTGGGCCGCTGTCCAGCGAGACAGGAAGACTTGTCTGAAGGAGACTACCAAGCATGCAAAACGTAGTCGCGACCTCCGCAGAGCTGGTGGGAGAATCCAGCCATTGTTGCGATCTGCATTTGGCTCGACAGCAATGTATGGCGCCAGTGTCACTGGTTTCTCCACACACAACATACGCGAATCCAAGCAGCATTATCATACAGGATGTGGGACGCATGCGCACAGGTCTGCAACGATTGATCCAGCTCTAGATCGCGTGCTAAACCCACCAGTGCCAGCTGACGCGGAAGTTCTGACCATCTGGGCAGCATCTCGATGTGATGCAGGTTTGTCGCCATCGGTCTTCGATGAAGCTTTATTGTGGGCGAGTCGGAACGTCACCGCCGAGATTTTTCGTTGTGATTTGCACGGGCTTGCATCCATAGTGGTTGCCACCTTGTT